GCTGAGGCCGCTGCCCCGCCCCGCGGCGGTCGCCGCCTTCGTGGGCGCCCCCGCTCACTTTCAGAGAGGGCGTGGGAGCGTCGTCGGCGGGCTGTGCCAGGAGTCTGCCCTCACTGAAGCCGGGGTTGCTGCAGGGGCGGGGTTCAGAGGCCGTCTCTGCCCCTAGCCTGCACTCCTCGAATTGGGGGTCTAGGGATGTGAGGGGCACCTGGGGCCACTCCAGCCGGAAGGTGCCAGGTCACGCCCCCAGGATGTGAGGGGTGGGGAAGGGTCCAGCACCCCTGCTCCTGGGCATTTTTCAGGGTCAGGCCCAGAGGGTGAGGAGCCCCCAGGGGCTCCCAGTGGCGCTGGGCAGGGTGTCCAGGCTGTCCTGCCCCCTGCCCCGATGGACTCACCCCGTCCCCTGCCTGAGTGCCTGAGGCTCCCTGCAGGCCAGACGCCGAGCAGCAGGTCGTCTCCAGGCCACCGGGTCCCTCCCCCAGGCCTGCTTGGCTGGGGTCACCCTCGGGCCACACTGGTCCTGAGCCCGCAGAGCCGAGGCCCACCTCAAGGGCAGGACTTCCCGCACCACCTGCCCCTGCCTGCCTGGCCAGGGCCTCTGAGGAGGAGGAGGTGAGTCGCTGCCCAGGCTGGCCGCCCTTCCTGGAGCCCTGCCGTGAGGCAGCTGCACCCCAGTGCACCCGGTTGGGGGCGTCTAGTGCCCTCTGCCCTCGGGCTGCCTCACCCAGGCCCGGCGTGTCCAGGGCCCTGTCCGGGTTCCTGGACGACAACCTTGGGTGCGTGCCCACGGGCCGTCCTGCACCTGGTGCCCACGCCCTCCGGCTCCAGGGCGGCGCAAGTGTGAGGCAGGCGGTATAAGGGTGGAGATCTGGCACTGGCCGCTGGGCTGAGTCTCCTGGGGCCCTTCAGTGAAGTAGGGGTGGGGAGGTCAGGAGCTGGGGACACAGCTAGGTGAGGGGCGCTCAGAGATGGACCCACGCCCCCGCGGGAACTGCGGGTGCCCACCACCGCTCCCCTGCCCGCAGGCCCACAGGCCGCTCCTCTGCAGCCAGCACCCGCTGGGGCCTCCAGGGGCCGCTGGCTGCGACCTGCTGGGGGGTGGGGCCTGGGGGTTCAGCCCTCTGCCCTGCCCTGCCCCCAGCCCTGGCCCCGCCTCCCCCGCACCACCCGACCCATGTTGGGTGTACCCTCACCTGGCTGGCCAGCGAGCTGCCGGGCCGCCTCCCTCCGCAGCTGCCCCCTCCCAGCAGCCCGGGGAGCAGCGCCAGCGCCCAGCACGGGTCCTGCAGGCCCAGCCTGCTCCGGGGTGCTTCCTGCCCCTTCCCAGCCTAGAGGGCCTGTGCCCCCAGCTACTTTTGTCTTGGCCTTTGTCTTGCAGGTTTCCTGCTGAATGACAGCCCAGGCTCCTTCTCTGGCCACTGGCAGCAGGGACGGGATGGGGGCCCTGCAGGCCACTGGGGTCTCCCTCATCGCACCTCTTTCCAGCCCAGCCCTGCCCTGCCCTGGGGCCCATAAACCTGGGCATTCGTGCCCGTGTTCTGCTCACTGGCCGGGGCGGGGCCGTCCTTGGGGCCGTGGCTCCGGCCAGGAGACGGGGTCGCCGCCAGAGGCTGCAGAGTGGACCTTGAGACCCAGTTTGGGGAGGCTGCAGGCTGCGTGGTCCCTGGCCTGGCCCAGCCCACGGCCCGCTGAGGCTGCTCTGGCTGCTTGCTGGCGGGCCGGCCGCAGGGGGCATCTCCCAGGGGCACCAGGATTGCGGGCCCAGCCCTTGACCAGGCCATGGCAGGAGCCTGACCAGCAGAGCTGGCCGGCAGCGGCGCGGGCGGCGGAGGCCCTGCGCTGACCCGGGAGGCGGAGGCCCTGCGC